TTTTTACGTTTTGATTATTACGAAAATTTAAGATTTGTTTTCTTTTTATACATAACTATACTATTTTAAATATTTTGATCAAATATATTACCCTCCTATTATGTCACTTGTAAATATGTGTATTATTAAACAAAGTGTAATATGTAATAAAAGAAATAAATATATAGAAAAAAAAGATGAATATCTTTTTTTAATATAAATATTTATAATGCAATCTTTTTCATATTTCATTTCTTTTAATTTTTTCAATTTTATCAATATCAATTAGATGTAATGTAACACATTAGATTTTTAAAGTATTTTAATATTTCTCGAAAAAGAATCTTATCCTTCAAAAGATATTATTCTTTATTTTCAATAATTATAATTATTTCAATACAAATATCTAATTTCTATATACTTTTGTGATGTATTTTATATTAGCAGGTAGTCCAATGTTTATGAACGGGGGTGTACGTAAGATATTGGCGATGTTTATTTTAAATGATGCGATGGTTATTTTCACGGAATGACGTAACGACAATAATAACGGAATGACATTAAATATTAGCAATCCTTTGCGATTCTTATGAAATCTTACGTTCGAAGCGACAACCAGAGATTACAATTTAACTTCTAATATCATGTTGCAATCGTTTAGTAAACATGGTGCTAAATAACCGATTGGATCTCGCAATCAACTAACGATCAATTTGGTTTCAAGATAAATTGCCAAAGTTTCGTGATAAAATTTCATTCTCTCATTGTTTTGAATGACAATAATGTTTTTTTTCTCTCTATTTTTTTTAATTTGTTATAATGCTATGCATTTAAAATTAAATTTAAAAATTATTTTAAATATATTTATATTTTATTTAATTTATATTTAATATTTAATTTATATTTTAAATAATATTTTCTTTTTTTTTAATCTTTATTTTAAAACAATATTATCTTTAAAAACAATATTTAATTAATATAATACCGCTTTCCAAAAATAGACTAAAAAACATAAATATAGAAATGATTGTCATTAAATTTCTGAATACGTGATACGATAAAATTTCTAAAGTTTTAATTTTAGTAATCAAACATTTAAAATATAAAAAACTTTTAGCAAAAAAAATGATCAATTAATGCTTATGGATAAGATACTAATTGTTAAATGTGTACGGTAGGCTCTTGACCGTATTATATTGGTTGATGTGAAAGTTTGAGAAACTTGTAAACTGTGTAAATTTCATGAATTGCAGATATCAATAAGATATAGAAATTGTATCGTTAAAATATACATATATCTTTCCAAATAAATGTCAATCAAAACATATTTTTATTTTGTTATAATTTCCTTTCCTAATTCATTTTATAATATAGATTTTAGAAAATTATTAAACATATACATGTATTATTATGTATTCTTTATACATATTACATGTACTATTTATTTTTATACTTTTAAATTTTTACCTAATTAATATTTGTAATCTATTTTTATTCATCATATAAAAATGATAAGAAATATAAACTTCACGGACTTTGAACACAATACAATAAACCATATCAAAATATATACTTTTTCTAATATTCGCCAAAGTTCACCAAAAGTTCGCTACTATAGTCCATTTTTAATTTTATGATGAATTTATTACGATGAATTTATCGCATATTATTTTTTCTGATTTCTTGATTATCAGAAATTATTGAATTAATCTTAAATATTTTAATCCGTACAACAATAACATGAATGAAAGATGATAATTGATATTAAATAAGATATTATGCTATAGTGATATACAAAGTATAAATTCCAGTCAAACTTTATCAATGTATATTCTATTGGTGCAAAATAAGAGAAATATTTTATATAAATATTTTGTATTAAAAAAGTTATAACAAATTATATACAAAATTATATATAAAAATATACAAGTTTTATAATTCATATTTGGGAAATAACATTTTACATTAACAAAATTTATAATCATTTTATAAATAAACATTTCATTCGATTCATTTTTAAATAATTCTTGATTTCTTAAACTAATATACTAATACTAACTTAAATAGATACAAGTTAAAGCACAAGTTGTGTTTTGTTGTGTTCTATTCGCTCATAACGTTACGTGTAAGGTCGTTAACTCACTAATACATAGTATATCGATGGACTAAATGTAATCTAATTTCCATAAACCGAAGGAGGCTTTCAGTACAAACGGATAACTCGTAAATCGATAGACTTGGAAAGGTTGTACCGAAAAGATAGTTATTGTTCATGATTGCTGCACGCGATGTCAGCATTGTTCTCATTGTTAGTGGCCAAGTCCGTTTACAGACTAGGTTTGAAGAAATCAAATATGATATAGATACATGAGCTTATTTTAACCTTTTTTTTATTTAAACCTTTAAAACTTTATGCACGTTAAAAGTATGTAATAATAATATTTGAATAAAAACCAAGTCTAAAATGAGATTAGCCGAATAGTCATAATAAAAAAAAATGATGTAACTAAAAACAAACGAAAAGATTAGATGTAACCTATAACTATCGTAATGTATTACGAGTTTAATACCAGAGCAGAATGATCATGTTCATCATAATAATAACGAACGAAACCTCTTAGCAACATCGTATGATTTTTATGAATGGATTTTATCCTTGTGTATAATAAATATGTTCCCTTATTCAACTTATACTACTTAGATCATTATTGAATGTATTTTAATGCGATTATATATAACAATTAACAACGAAACATCGTTCGATTAAATTCAATCAGTGTTTTCATTTAAACACGTGTGAATACATAACTACGGATCGAACGACAGTACCGCTTGAACGGTCGGCCATTTTCGCTGCTTTGTTTACGAAGAAAGTATCGAATCGCGGTGAGCATAAATATGATGAAGTTCTTAATGCTTTCGTAAAAAAGATGCGAAATCTTATTCTCTTACTTCGAATTGCCAATGAGCCGCTTGTAGCAACTGTTTCGCTTGTTCCCTGGCACAACCTGCAGCCAGCACAAACTGATTGATCATCACCTGCTCGCGAAGGGTGTCCATTTTTTCGTCACGTTTTATCGAAAAGGCAGAAAATATATCAGAGAAAAATCAAAATCACACGAAACACTAGTATAGGCACAGTCTTCCGAATCACCAGGTTTCAATTCTGCCTTAAGTTTTCGTTTAGATGCAAGTGCAGCCTACAAGCGGCAAGCAGAGTCTTGTTTTGAAAACTAAACTCATTGCAGACGGCTGACGGGCACCGCGGGTTGCGGAACGTAAGAGACGAAGATGTTATGACGTCACTACCAGCTATTCGCTAATCAGCGTACAGCTTCCCGTGTGTTTGGGAGCATTCTCTTTTACGTACATACTCCCTATCTTCATTGTTTATTTTCAAACATAATAAATAATTCAAAATGCTACAGATTTGATAAATAGTATTATATTTATAGCTAATTTTTTATTTTTGAATGTTATTCTTGTTTCGATATAAAAATAGTGCACATTATTAAATTTTCAAGAAACTTTAACACAAAAATAAATAATGTAATTTGATGTTTGATTCTTTGGAAATACTTATTAGGTCACCTACCTCTATTCAAGAAATTTTTTTAGTGTTGAATCTTTCTTAATCTAAAAGTTTTTAAGTTGACGAACCTGTTTAACAAGAACATCTGTTATTAGTAATATAATTATAATGTAATTTATTGAATTTAATTAAAAAATAATATATTTTTTTATGAAATCAAAGATATTTGTCAAATAATATTACGTGAAAAAGTGTGTTAAATATTAAATATGATAAAAAAAATCCATCTAAATTTTCTAATTACAAACTTTAAAATAATATTAAAAAAATTATTTATATTATTTTATATATAATATAATTTTTTGATTTTTAAAAATAAATTATATAATTATAAATACTTTAGTTTTACTTTTGCATGATTTACATGATATATATATATAAATATTCTACTATTTTTTATATTTACAATTCTTAAAATATTATTCTATATACATTTATTCATTTATTATAATATATAAAATTAACTTTTATAGTAACTATAAAATATTGATTTAATAATCAATATACTTAAAAATGTATATATATATGTATGTATGTATATAATATATATAATTATGTTTTTAAGGTTAAAAACGAAAATTATAAGAAATATTATTATTAATTTCTTTTATTAATGAAATTATATTTAATATATATATCTTTCTTATAAAATATTTTGTTATTATAAAATTAAATTAATGGCCTTTTATATGCCCATAATTTTTCATGATCATACATAATATGAATTTTTTCATACATATATTTAAAAAAATATAAAAGATCATCATATTGACCTTTATATCTTTCATCTAAATTATTTATATGCCGAAGCATAGTATTATTTATAGAATTTTCTTCAGTATCTTTTGTGTTAGCATATCCTTGAATTATACCAAATGCACATGTATGTAATTCTACTAAGAATTGATGAATTGCTTCAATAGTAGCTAAATACCATCTTGGACTTTTTTTCTGATGACGCCAAAATTGTGATATTCTTGATTTTAAAATAACACAATGCAAATCTGTAAATAACAATATATATTATTACGCATGATATAAATCTTATATAATTATAATTTTTCTTAAGATATTTTATTCTACTTTTATAAAGAATAAAAATAATGAAAATAATATTATTTTGTATGTAAATTAACAAATATATGTAATATGATTTGCTTATAAAAATTACCTCGTAATCTTTGATCTTTGTAAATAGCTTTTGTTTGATGCCATGTACTATCAATAAAAATAGCTCTTTTTATAGGAAATGCATTCTTTATTCTATTTGTAATTATTTTATTATCTTTTTTAACCTCCTTTATGAATAAAGAATCTACAGATACACCAGTTTGGCTAGGAAAAATTAAAACAGTCTAAAGGATAATATTATTTATACCAAAGTTTTAAAAACAAAATAATCTTAAATATATTGTTGCTGTCATATATACCTCTTCTTTGTCCAATATATCTGGGAAATTAGGATACGTAAAAATTCTCACATCTTCAGGGGCAAGTATGGCTGCATGAATTGCAGTACTTTTTCCATCTATTTCACGTGCATGTTTAATGATATCAATTTTAATAGGTAACTAAAAAAAGAAAAGTCATTCATTCATATATACATAATTTACATAAATTATTACCTTTATCTTTGGAAAATACTGTTCTCCAATAACTGGTAAATAACAAGAATAACAAAAAAATTTTCGTGACCTACAACAATGTTTACATATTTCTCTGCCTTCTATTGTATCCAAAATTCGTGCATTAGTAATTTTTAAATGACAAAAAGGTGTTTTATCAATTATTTTTTGCTCTCTTTCTAAACTTGAAAGCTTTTTGATTTCGTTTATTACTTCAGTTTTCGCCATATTCTTAATAATAATAATATAAACAAATTTAATTCAAATTTAATTCTTAATAATAATATGAACAAATTTAATTCAATACGTAGTATTTGATATTATTATTGACACTTGACATAAACATTCATAGACTAAATTTAATGACATATAACTAAGTATTTATTTATATATATAGTGAATTATTAAATGCTTATTTTTGATTACAAACAATATACACCATCTGTTGTTGAACATATACACTATAGCTCATTGGGTAACCAGCAAATACTATGATATTGTTCAATCCATATTAAAAATTATGAAATTAGTGCCATCTCGCGTTTGAATACCCAAAGCTCTAACTTATTATTAGCATAACAGAATATACAAGGAGGTATTCGAAGTTACCGATAAAGAAACATTGTGCGAAGAGCACAGAAAATATCTGTCCCCGCTTTGAAGAAAATCCATTAATTATTCTTAATATTTAACTTAATATTTTGACACTTTTAAACTTATATTTTAAAATTAAAATTTTAAACAAATTTCTCGCATTAATTTTATTATGCTTAAAAATATCGAAATTTTAAAATTGTAAACAAGTAATTAATTAATTTTCAACATAGCATTTTTGACATATTAGAAATTATGATATATTAATCATTAATGAATTTTTCATGCGATATCTTTATAGTGATGGGAGATATTTTCTATCCTTCTTGCGCAATATTGCGTATCTTGTTTGTGACGTCACACAACTTCGCATACTTCTTTATATATTCTGCTATGCTAATAATAAATCAGAGTTTCCACGATCTAAACACGAGATGGCGCTGATCTCAGAAATTTTTTCAAGCTCTCTCACTTATCGACAAAATATTTCGTCAACAATTAAAATAAAGAAATTATACAAAGTGTAGAATTAAAAGAAGAAATATTAAATTAATTATAATTTAAAAATAATTTAAATAAAAATATATAAAGAGTATAGAGAAAAATAAAGAAAAGAAGAAAGATTTATTTATATAAATCTAAATATAGGTATGTATCTATAATTTATAATAAAATATAATGAAATATAATAAAATATAATAAAAATATATAGAACTGAGAATTATAGAAAAAGAATTTATAAATATATAAAATATATAATATAGGTTTTATAATATATAAAAATATAAATATAGAATGTAAATATTCATAGATTTCGTGAAGATTTTTCAGTAGGATTTTTCAATAGGATAATATATAGAATATGGTAGTAGGAAAGGTAAAGTTCGTCTTTATCATATGAATGTGATCATTTGCGACACTCTAGAGATGGCGCTGATTTCAATATTTTTAATCTATCTTTATTCTCTCATTATTTGATCTTTTTGTATTGGGATAGGATTTAAACACGATTATTTAATTTTATATTGAAATTTACATTTTTTTTTAATCTTTATGATTACTTTATTCTGAATTGAATCAATAACATTGAAAATAATTCTAAAAGAATAAAATAAAATAAAATAAAATAAAAGATACGAAATAATGGGAAAAAATGATAATTAATATTGTATGAATATATCATATCTATATACTTATAAAAAATAGAATTTTGATTTTGATTGAAGATTGATAATAGATAGAAGAAAATTTAAAACTACAAAATAAATTTCAATATAAATGAGTATAATTTCACTTGTAATTTATGAATTCTTTTCTTTTGTATCTTTTAATTAAAATCTTTTCATCGACACAAATAACGTGTATGTGTGTGTGTATTGCCGTTTGATGAACCGACAAGGTTCAATTATTACTTAGGTTTTTCAATAATTAGCTAATCAACAACATAGGTTTCTAAGAAATAAATGAAATGGGTGTTAACGCAGTTGCCTTCTAATTTAGATTTTCTTTGACAAACGAATAATTAATCGAATTATTTTTCAGTCTTTCGTTATAGTCTGCTGTACTAAAATCACAGTAATTACTTGATGACGTTAATGAAATAAAGAAACTTTGAACGAATTGTAATAATTTTTGCATCCTTGTTAATTTTACGTTTTAAGCACAAAATTCTACAAGCACTTTAATACAAAATAAAGAATAATTTTAAAAATGGAATAACTCTAAATAAATAAACTCTAAATAGGTTACTAAATAGATTAAATTAATTTGAAAAGTTAATCTACAAATTACGAAAAGTTAAAATTTAAAAGCATGTTCCATTTCAATTTCTTCTCATAAATTATTATTTTTTATTGTATAAAATATGCATTATATTATATTATTATAAAGTGTAGAAGTAATAATTTCAAAAAATTCATGCAGATGAAATTTAAAAATTTATCATGTGCATATCGTTTAATATTTTATTTCAGAATTATGATTAAAATATAATTTAACTTTTTTAAAATATTTAATTTCATTTCTCTCTTTTATTTCTCGAAAATCATCTTCTTTATATTTTACTAAATTTTCTATTAAATTTAATTGATTATATGAAAATTCTTTTCTTTTGTAAACGAGTAAAGAATCGATAAAAAATTATCCAGAATATATTTTTGAATGGATTCAAACGTTAGAAATGTAAAATGATTAAAACTTTTCCACAATCGTCATGTAATTAAATAAATTTAATTTTTCCAGACATCGTTTTCAATTTTGCGTTAAAATAAATTCATTTATTTTATCATATTTTATTGCATCATTTATTCATCTTCAGGGTGTCATCTTCTGCCTAAATAATTATATCGAGATACAATATAAATCGATCTTTATATTTTTATTTTAGATACGAATTCAATATTAACATGGAAGAAAGTAACTTTAAACGAACCTCAAATTTTTCTGACGTCTTCCGTTTAAAATTCGACATCAGTAT